TGGGGGGGGGGGGGGGTTGTTTTTTCACTTGGCAGCTAGGTTGTAAGGTTGATAGTCCTCAGAAGCTAATTTCCAGCCCCGTTCTATGTAGGAAGCTTTGAGTTGCAATAGTTGGCTTCATGGTAATTAGGAGCAGACCTGAAGGTCAAGGAACGTTACCACCAAACAGCACAATTGAAACTCGGGCTGCTGCATCCGTGTCATCAGATCAATTCAGTTCAAATCTGGCCGTGAGATTTCCTTACCATTCTTCTCGCAGACATTTTTGCTTTAAAAAAAAAAAGAAGAAGAAGAATGGGGTCGGTTTGAAATCCAGGAAGTTTTAAAAAGAAAGAGTTGAAGGCGGTTTTTGGTACTTTACCTTCACAAAACTCCCATGCGTTTTGCCAGCACTCAAATATTTATATCCCTTGTTTCCGTGGGATAGACTTGAAAAGAGAGACCAGTGGGATGACTTGCAATCAAGGAAATCCTTTTTTTTCTTTCCTTTTCTTAATTTTTCATTTGCGGCAAGCTCCAGCGTTCCTTGTGCCATTAGTATGTGAAAGCAATCGGTCGACAGAGCAGTGGTTACAGCTGACAGTCACTGTACAGTCGAACAAGGAAGCAATTTGAATAATTGAACGAACTGTAAATTACTCAAATTCAGTCTCCTCGAATTCGGAAAAAAACCTCCGCAAGAGTTAGTTTTCTTTGAAGATTTATACTTATGACGAGCTTGATTTATGCAAATGCTCTAGAGGTTTGCTATATCCGTGGCAAACATGTTTTGCATGTATTGTAGGTAGGCATGGAGGCTGTCTGTATAGTGGATCTTACCACTGTCTTGGTCTTACCCTGGTACCCGGTAGAGCAGCATCACGGTCAGCGAGTCGGCTCACTGCAGAGGATGGCGACTAGGCATTAGGGAGAGGGTTAATGGGATTTGCAATCGTACTTCTTCCAGTAGAGGGGCAGGTGTATCATAGTGGGCTGGTGGGTCTGGAAGTCTGCATGTTTGTGGTCTGCTGCTTCTCTTCTGGGAAAAGAAGGCCTTGCTCTGCCTAGTTGCCTATCCAGCCTTTTTTACGAACAAGCTCAGTTCCCTTAAAATAAAAACACCCATCCAACCTGGGGGAGTCAGTGACCTGAACACTGGTCCATTTTGCCTGGAGTCATTGCTGGCCTCCACCAAAACCTTAGGGTGGCAAGATAGGAGCCATGCTACCCCCCTTGCTTTGCAGGGGATGTTGCTAAGGAAATGTTGCTGCTTGGCATTCCCAAGCATGAGTGTGGCCTTGTTTGTCCGGATCATCTCCCAGTAAGACCAGTGGGAGCTGGGTGGCTATATACTGGTAAGAGCACAAATCCCCGTTGTTTCCTGCATGCGTGTGCACGCACGTCTCAAATTCTGAGGTTCTCAGCGTTTAAGCGGACCTGGGATCGTGCCAGATTAGTTTCCGTTGTTCACATGTGAGATACGTAAAAGCAAGGCCTTAACGTACTGCGGGGGTTGGGAGGAGATGATGGAGAGCTGAGGACATGCTCTCCCTGATGCTGTGAAATGCCCTGCCGGGTGCATTGCCTGGGTTTGGTCTGCACATCACAGCTCTCTCTCTCTTTCTTTTTTTTCCATTTTAGACAGGTAGAATTGACAAGTCTTACCCAACGGTGTGCGGTCACACGGGACCGGTGCTGGACATAGACTGGTGTCCTCACAACGATCAAGTCATTGCCAGCGGCTCCGAGGACTGCACGGTCATGGTAAGTTCAGGCCATTGTATTGCAAAGCCCAAGATCTGGCCAGTTTTGGAAATTTCCCTTGTTTCTGTACTCTTCAAAAAAAGGCTTTTGGAGAGAGGGTGAGCAAGCTTTTATGGTACCGATGTTTCATTGTCCTCCAGAACAGCTCCATTACTGAGGCTTATTTCAGCGTAAAAGGTTGAGTGTACAGGTGACTTTCTGCTTTGAAAAACAGGTGTATGCTTCCTGTGAAAATGTTTTATTTTTACGACCTGCTGGAAGGTCCTACCCAGCCATCAGGTGAAGGCTTTGGCTCCCAGGACTTTTGACAGCTGTGGGCATCCGATATATATGAAGACAGTAGATAAAAGTCGGGTCCATGATTAAGCAATGAGAAAAACGTTTGGCGATGGCAGAATCCTGGAGGAAAGAAAGGTGTTTGACAGCCCCATCACAACTGCGTGATGGTGAGGTGAAGCCCCCACGAGAAAATTTCCTCTCTGGGTGTGGGTACGGATGCTTTGCTAGGCTAAAAAGAGAAGTCTGGGGCAAGAAGCACCAGGTCAAATAGCCTAGACTGAGCTTAGCAGTACTGCATGATATTTATGTATGATGTTCACCAAGTTGTTAGCTAGGAATAAACCTGTATAAAGTCTTAAGTCCTGCCTGGAAACACTGTGGGACACTGGGATTTTGCAGTCTCACATGCATCCGTTTAACTTCTTGCACTGCTCAAGAAGCTTAACCCTTTACAAGGACCTTATCTCTTCTTACTGTCCTGCTGGGGGATCCAATTTGGTGTAATTACCTGGCCATTCCCCAGCCTTTATAACCACGGGAGTATCTGTTGCATTGTGTTTCTGGAAGGCTTCTCTCCCCTCCTGACCTCGGGAGTTGGTTGGCGTCTCTAAGGGGTGAGGAGAAGGAAGAGAGCCAGATTAAGGGCTCCTACCCTATAGCTTCAACAGCGGTGGTGTGGAACCAGTGGAGTAAGGAAGGACAAGGCCACTTGGTTTTATTACTGCGGCAGCCCTGGTTTTAGGGGTGATAGAGTTTTGTTTCCTACATCAACAGGATGTGTGCGCATGTCAAAACCTAGAGAGAATCCAAATTTTGCAGCTGCCAGCCTTGATCCTGAGTTCCTCCTGATGTTGATGACAGCGCGCTGAACAACACGTGGCCCTCAGCAGTGACAGGCGTCCAATTCGGGGCGTGCTAACGCTGCAGAACAATTTTAAGTACATCCCCCCTGCGCTGGTGTTGCTCTGAAGAGTCTTCAGCTTTGTTTAGAAACTTCATGTTGAAACCTTGTTACGGGGAAAGTCAAGTGAATCCTAGAGCTTCCCTTCTTTTCATCCTACAAACACTGATGGTGATGGGGGCTTTCTTCCCCAGGGTCTTTGTTCGGGGACTGTACTGCCTGTGAGCTGTCTTGGAAGCCAGAGGCCGTTAGCAAAATGTACTGTGTTCCCATTTAAAAAAGAGCAAACAAACTTGGGTTTGCGATGTTCCCCACGGAAATGGACCAGCGTTATAGATTTCATAGACATTCAGGCTGGAAGGGACCTCGGAAGATCATCGAGTCCAGCCTTCCGCCCCAGGGGCAGGCAGTCAACTGGGGCCAAAGGATCCCAGTTATAAAAGAGAGATCCAGTGTTCTGCGGGAAACTGCAATTGAGAGTGCATGTGGAGTGGGGCAAACGTGCTTGGGAACATGGACATCAGCAGAATGAGCAGAGCCAAAGCTATTGCTGCTTTACAAGAGCAGAAAGAAGTCTCTAATTCAAGATGCTGCAGCAACCAGAATGGAAGGATCCAGAGGGATCCAGGAAGATCAACTGCATGCAGTGGCAGCTTGCCCGTGTGAGACCTGCTAACTGGAGATGGTTGGCCTTCAAGCAAGTAAGGAAGTAGGGTAGTTTACTCAGGGCCTTCAAGACTGACACCTGGATGGACAGGTGTATCTACCGTAGACTAAGTACCATCATTGCAAATTGTAAATGGGTGTTGGTTCACATCATTTCAAATGCGACTTACTTCTAATACTGACATCTGTGTAGGGAGATGTCAGGGTGAATTGTATCTGGTGTGGAGGTGTCTCAAAGAGAAGTGATGGAGACCCCAAACCTCTTTTGACATTTTCAGCTAGGCAAAGCTGAGCTACAGTGAAGGGAACAAGCATGCGCTGGGTAGGAGGATGCACTGCCCTAATGGATCTGTCTGTTGCTGACTGCTGTCTTGTCTGGGCCTTAGCAACTTAGCATCGTGCTTTCTCCATTTGTCTTCATTAAAGGTTGCAAACCTCCAGCTTCCTGAGCCCCCTCTGAATGAGTGTTCAGGTATTATTTAAAAAAAAAAAAAGTGTAGTTATTTATCAGCTCTGCACTCTTTGTGAGTAGCTGAGATGAAACAAGAAAACCATACCTGCTGTGATCAGGAGAATCGCAGATTCGGCTCAAGAGCATCCACTTTGCTTCTGAAAAATGTCATTTTTAATTATGGCCCATGAATTGGGGCTAAAAACGGTAGTCCAGTAAGGTACCCCAAGTCCCCGATGGACCTACCACTGATGTCGGAGGCTGTTTTCAGGACATTC